CCCCCCCCGTGCACCAGTCTGAGCCCGCGTCCCGGATCTCCCGTGGTCAGAGTCTGGGGGTCCGTGTGCTCCTCAAGAGACAACAGCTGCTGGGCGGCTCCAGGATGGCCACTCTCAGCTCTCTGCTGGCCGCCAAGAAACGGCACTCGCTCATTGACCATTACATCCTGCGGTTTGACGCCAAGGTCAGTGTCACTTATAGACTAGGACATTCTCAGTTTTTATACCAAGGCCAGCGTCACTTATAGACTAGGACAGTCTCAGTACTTTTGTACCAAGGCAGGCAGGGACATTCTCAGTTTTTTATACCCAAGTCAGTGGGAGTTAGGACGTTGTCAATTTTTTATACCTAGGTCAGTGAGAGTTAGTCACTTATAGACAGGGACATTCGCAGGTTTTCATACCAAGGTAGACTGGAGCATTTTCAGCTTTTTTTACCAAGATGAGTCTGGATCAATAACAATAACAACATACCAAGATGAGTGAGAGTTTGTCTCTTATAGACCGGGACATTCTTAGTTTTTTATACCATGGTGAGTGAGAGTTTGTCACTTATAGACCGGGACATTCTTAGGTTTGACTTCAATGAGAGGGGGAGTTTGTCACTAATGAAACACCACATTCTCAAGTGTTTAAGGAAAACTGTAGATTTTTTCACTCATTCATCGTGTCATTCTCTATTGGAAATGTGGGGTTGTGAGATTTTTCCTAATGGTATTCAAGACATGTCATTGTATTCTGAAGGTGGGCTAAAGTCGACGGGGGAATGTTGAGTCAAGGGATTTCTGAATCATATCTGTCTATCTATCTATCTATCTATCTATCTATCTATCTATCTATCTATCTATCTTGAACCAATGACTCTGTGTGGTAGGCGGGTGCTCCGGTGGGGTTTACTCCTTCCTGCCTATCAAACGTTTATCATCCGTATCTCTCCTGCTTCTTTTTACGTTTGTCACGCTCTAGTTACGCCTCTAATCTTCGATACTTGTAATGACCTATGTTGCAAGTGCCACTTATATGAGCTATGTTGCAAGTGCCGTAAAACTCAAGACCCGTTTCTCCTTTTTGTGTGACGTCATCAGATGGTGTGGCGGAAGCTGAGACTGTGGGTGAGGATCCGGAGCATGCTGGGACGGATACATCAGGAGGTCATTGACCGAGTCGTGTGAGTTTACACAGTCACACAGTCACACAGGCGTTTTGTTGTGTTGTTGAATGGGAGGTTTGGGGG